CATAAGTTGAACAAATCAGTAACAGTATTTTCTTGCTTCTACTCATATAGTCAACTACTTGCTACCGTGATCACAGTATATTGTGACTGAAGATCAAAAAGACTTATTTTCTGGAACTTTTAATTCCCTATTTTGTCAATCATGGTACAGCTAATGCCTGCTCTGGAAGTAACTATAGTCTCTCTAGTATTTGTCCCATGTATTCAACTAGTCTGCTGCAGCCTTTGCAAAGTTGTTTTATTGCTTTCACAGGTTGGACAGGACTTTTTTGCCCATGTGTCCTGTTTGGGCGTAACATTGAGCAATTGAGAGAAGATACTCCTTGGACACAACCATGCCTGTGCCACGCCATTTTTGTCGAGGGAGGTATCGCTCTTGCAATAGCAACGGCAGCATTAAATGGCATTGTAATTGATCCTAGGACATCATTCCTTATCTGCGAAGGCTTGTTCTTTGGTTGGTGGATGTGTGGAATATACACTGGTATCTTTCGCCAATCGCTGCAGAAGAAGTATCATCTCAAGGTGATATTTTCTCTCTTTGTTTTAAATGTTATCCTCTATCAAAACTACATTAATCTCCATATGTTATGCTCCATATACAGTTTCACTTGCATGTTATTTTGTCAAATATAAGATGTATTATGACTTATTAGCAACCAGGAAATGCAATATTTTATCCTGAACTCATACATTCCCTATTGAATCTTGATGCAGAATTCCCCTTGTGACCCCTGCATGGCGCATTGCTGCATGCACTGGTGTGCCTTGTGCCAGGAGCATAGAGAGATGAAGGGCCGTCTATCAGATAACGTTGTTATGCCAATGACGATTGTCAATCCTCCACCTGTCCAAGAGATGACTGCTTCTGGTGACAACCAGGAATCTCTTCCGTCTTCCACAAATGCCCCTGGGCAGACGAACCTCGAGATGCAAGCTTTGTGAAGCTTCCTACTCTCAAGAGTCTCAGGAAGTACTCAATTGAAAAATTCAAATATGCTCTGAAAGATTGATGGTGGAGATGATTTGCTCTTTTGGTGGTATATAGATGGGGAACTGTTTGCTGTTACTGGAGATTGGAGAAAGTATAGTTCAATACACAACTAAAAAAAAAAAAAAAAAAAAAAAAAAAACTTTTTGCAGTAGAGTTTCAAAAATTGTTTTTAATCTCATGCAAACCGGAAACTGCTTCAACTGTTTAAACCTATAGTTGCATATATACTTGCCTTCTTTGATTAGTTGAGCTTCAGAGCTCAGGTTTTCTTTTACCTTAACTGCTCAACTTTTTTTATTTGTTTTTTTATTTTTTATTAGTCTCAATGACTAATTATAACATGCACCCCAATATTTACCATGCAAGGTAAACCTTGATATATGTTTATTTCAGTGTATTATTAATCAAAATGAATCTGCAATATCAGGGGTATATGTTGTTACGTGGACTATAATCCATGATATGAGCATTGAGTCCTTATGGAATGAACATGGCAAATTATACAATAAATTAGGGTTCATCTTGAATTACAAATTTTGATCCAAAATGATATTCAGATGTGTTGAAGTTAATATATTATGTATTAAGTGCTTGTAAATATATTAAAGGCACATAATGTGTAGTTAATATATTATGTGTTTATGGTCAACAAATTATATGCCTTCAATTTATTTATAGATACGTAGTTTATTAACTAAAAATACATAATATGTTGTCTTCAAAAAAAAAAAAAAAAACACATAATATGTTAATTGTAAATTCATTTTACAATTAACATATTATAAGGCAAATTAGGTCTATGGTATAACAATTGAATGAACATATAATAAGGATGACAAATTATTTTGTGGACCCGGGTCCATCTTACAAGATGAACCCGGCTCTAAAAATACATAATTTGAATGTTCACAATTTTACATACTAAATGTTCATGATTTAAATTGTGAATATTCAGTATCTAATTGTATTTTAAACTCGAGTGAAGGTGGACCCGGATACATGATATAACTGGTGAATAAGGATTGATTAGTGATCTAGTGTTCCATTATGAAACATTGAAGCATGCCAGTTTGTTCAGCCCTGTTGGGCTCGAATTTGCCAGCCGTATTAAAAATATAAAGCTCTTAAGTATTTGAGTCCCACTAGACTTTGATCTGAATTTAAAAGTATTTGACTCACATTAGAATTTGATCACTTGCAAATCGTTTCGAGTATTATTTTTGGTCAAATTACACAGCAATGACAGCACAGTCGGTTTACAAGATGTATCCATCTTCACCAACTGATCTTCGTAGGCGCCCAGAGACAACAAATGACCATTTCTATCGCCCAGAGACAACAAATGACCATTTTTATGGCAACGAAGACATAGAAGACATTACTGTTTACCAGGAAGATATGGCAGACTTTTGTAGGGACAAGAAAAAGAAATCTAAGCAGAGACTAAGTTGGTGTAAATTTTTCCAGTGTTTTCAGTTTTTCAAATTATATTTATGCAATCAGTAATTGGCGAATTGTTTTCCCTTTTCTTGCTATGTGTAACTTTTCCATCATATGGACTAATATACAAAATTATTATTCTTTGAGACTTTTAAGTTGGGAATTTAACTTTTTTGGAGAATAAATTTTTTTATTGAAGAATCAATCAAATCCGTAATTACTATTCAAAAATATACATAAATTTAACTTTACTCGTATATATTAGCTCGTGAAAGACACAAAGATATAAACGAAAAACCCGAAGTAAAACAAAGCAAAAGTGTTTTGCAGCTGAAGCTCACACTCCACATGCACACTTCACGATCAAACAGTGTTTCCGCAGATTAATGTTGTTTCGTGCTTTTAAGAACCCTATGCTTCGTACGTTCTTGATTGTCGGACACAGCTGGGATGACTGCCTGCTTTTGATTTTTGAGCAGAGCTCTGAGTGATGGGGTCTGTTTATTTAATGGATTCTCTTGCCCCCAGGCCCCAGGTGATTACCCAACTCATCCTTCTCAAATCTCAATCTTATCTGCCCAAAAATGCCATCTTTTCTTAATTTTCCTTGCTGCCTTGGCTGGATTACTGTGTTTCTGTGTAATTAAGGTTCGATTTTTCTTGTCATTAGAAGCTGTTGGTCCCCCCCAAAGAAAAAACAATGCCTGATCAAATCTGGGCTGTTCCCAAGAGCTAGCTTTTATGGCTTATTTCAGCTAAATTTGAGATTTTTAGACTGCCCAACCACTAGATTTAGTGAAGTTTCTTGGCTCCAGAGACCTTATTGTTTATCTTGTGAAACTTATGTGGCTTTAGCTGCCATTTTACACAAACACTCATTTTTGACAAAATTTTACTTTTGATCCCCTCACTATTATACATGAATAACATCTATTATACTTGAACAACATTTGGTCCTTGATTATTAAAATTTTCTAATTAGGTGCACAACTATGTAATTTGTATCACATTTGGGACAATGTTTTAGCACTGCTTAATGTTGCAACTTGCAACCAACAAAAGAAGTTGTTAAATTGTCCTTTCTGCTACTAGTACTAGAATAAGAACTGGAAGTGGTTTTAATATAAGCCATGGTTTCAGGATTTAGTAGTGATAACAGCCGGGCAATGCTGCGATTGTTAGCTCATTTAGTGCATAGAATGTAGGAAAGATATCTACATAGAAGCAAATTCAACCTCACTAAAATAATCCACCAAAATTGTTGAAGATGAAACATGCTCCATAAGTAAGAAGCTCACTTCATCAAAGTATGAAAACTTGAATAAATGGCATGTTGCTATGTGGTAAACCGTAAACCATTATTAAGCTCCACTATGCGAATAGAATCTCATAAATGTGGCATTTGCGATGATTAGTATTGTTAGACATTATATGGTAGGAATATATTTAACATGATCTTAGGGATTTTGTGCATATTCTTAAAGATTTATTTCTGATCCTTACCTTAGCATGTATATTCTTGTATAAATAGTTGTATTCTTTTGACTGAAATATATGAAAACATATGGAGTTCTCCATTTGACAAGTATTAAGTCCAGTAATTGATGTGATCCACTTCAATTAAAAGCTTAAGTAGATAGAATTATCCTCAACATGCTCCTTGCACTCGGACAATATTCTTATCAACCGGCCACCTTTGGCAATGTGCTACATCAATGTCTTTGTATGTCTGTCATATATAGAAGTAACATTTTTATCTTTTTGTTGCTGCACTGAAAAATCATTATGTCTTCTATTCTCCCACAATGGTTCAAATTGTCCACCTTTGATTAGTGGAAAAGTGTGGCATAAAATATGCATGGCAGTCTTACGTGGTCTGCCCATTAAAGTGTGTTATTACTTTAAGTTGGTGAATGGCTTCCATGGAGACCCCACTCGTCCATTGTAGTCTAAGATTAATCAATTCTTTGTCCTAAATGGGCCCTCTTTGCATCTGCTGTGTATTCCACGTGCACAGTAATTGTCCTTTTGCTTCAAATTTCATAGTGATTCATTGCTAGTTTCGTTTTAGCAAAACATTATTCTAAACGGTTTTGTACAAATTGAGGTTCAAAAGTCTGTTGTGTCACCACCAGCATGCAACTTGAAGTTCAAAAAGGGGTTGAGTCATCCACTTTTTTTCAACCAAACAAAAATGTTTTATGTTTGTCGGTTGAAACAAAAACATTTGTCCTCTAATGTTACATTGTTGTCACCCTCTCCAACTACTACTGTAGTTTTTCCTGTCCAAAATGTTATGTTTGATTTCCTGTCCACAAAAACTTGACCTTTTATTTGTTTGATGCAGTTGAACAGCTTATTGGATGCGAGGATTTCCCATATTCTCTCCGAGAAATATATTCAGAAATATATTCATGAATTCCGTTTTATGTTTGTTACTTCATACCTATAACACGGTTTTTGTTCTTTTACTGAATTACGAGTAGTTAGTTTCTGAATTAATGGTCATAGATGTTAAATTATGGTGTAAAAAGAAAATGAGAGACGTAATCAATCACATATAATATATAATATGCTTGAGATCTAAGAAACAAGTGCTTGAAAAGAAAGGAACGATCATATATCTAATTGTATCTATTTCAATATGCAGGCGTACGTGCAGCTCCTCTAGGCGATGTCTTCACGGGAAAGATGTTTGTGAGTAACCGGAATGCACTTGGCAAGCCAACCGATTGGCCACGATAATGCAGCGACTCCTATGCATATAGCCCATTGCCCCGAGTTGAGCCTTTGAGTAGCTGCAAATTTGTTCAACGCTTCGACCATAATCACCTGTAAAATTATTGTCCCGCCAATGATCCCGAGAAACAGCTTATTCTTCAGTATTCCCTTGAAGACGTTCTTCTTCTCCAGCTTCCTTGCGTTGAACTCGTTGAAGACTTGGCAGAAGACGAAAGTGTTGAATATCAAGGTATCCTTCACCCTCTTATTCACTCCGAAGATCGAGCTACCTCTGAACTGTAGAACGAGTAGTACGATGATCTGGTATAGAGCCTGAGCGATGAGATTCCTCCACATTACAGGAGTTATTAGAGGTTCGGTTCGGCCAATTGGTTTCTTTGCCATGAGATCATCGGTGGGCTGTTCGGTTGCCAGAGCCAATGCCCCGAGAGAATCCATTATGAGGTTAACCCAAAGAAGCTGGACCGCTGTGAGCGGGACTTCGCCCGAGGATAATGCCGCCACGAAGTTTATCGTGAGAGCGGCAATGTTTACTGTGAGCTGAAACTGAATGAATTTTTGGATGTTGTTGAATACGCACCGACCCCATTTTATAACGGTAACCACGGATTTGAAGTTGTCGTCCAAGATAACGATATCCGAGCTCTCCTTTGCCACTTCTGTGCCTTGGATCCCCATCGAAAGCCCGATATCTGCTTCTTTGAGGGCAGGGGCGTCATTAGTACCGTCACCCGTTACTGCAACAACGTGGCCTTTTTGCTTCAGACATTTCACCATCAAAAGCTTGTCGAATGGAGATGATCTCGCCATTATGCAGATGCTATCGATTTTCGCCATTCGTTCTTGTTCTGAGTAATTTCGGAACGTTGTTCCATCGATTACTGCACCGTCTATATCGTCTCCTTGCTTTAATATTCCACATTCAGTAGCTATTGCTTTTGCGGTGAACATATTGTCTCCTGTTATCATTTTGATTTTGACTCCGGCTTCTCTGCAGGCTTCAACTGCTTCTTTAGCTCCGGGTCGACACGGGTCCTTCATTCCGACCATCCCGAGTAAGGTCAGTTCACTTTCTTCGAGTTTCTCACTAACCATATCGCTTTGTTCTCGAGCTACTTTGTAAGCAAATGCAACACATCTCAGGCTCTTACATGCCAAGTTTCTAATTATCGACTGAAAGTTTACCCTCTCTTCATCGTCCAAAGCTTTTATATCTCCGCTTTTGAGATGATACTTGGAGCACATATCAAGAATCATCTCAGCCGCGCCTTTCCAGTGCGTTTGAACTCCCTTCTCCCCGTGATTCTTTCTCACCAATGCACCGCTTCTTTTCTTCTGTGAGTTAAACGCTTCGACTTGGAGGATTTCATGGCCTTGCTTTAGTCCGTTAAAATCCATGGCTAAATCAGCAACTGCCCATTGAAGGATAGCTGATTCTGTCGGGCTACCAGAAATTTCTGGAAGGGTAGCTGAAGCTGACATATAAACTTCACCGCTCGTGTTTAAAGCAACACCTTCTTGGATTAGTTCGATAAGGTCAGAGGCTATCTCGAATGATTTCCCTTTCTCTATTTGTTCTTTACCTAACCAAAATTCGGTTACCTGCATCTGGTTTAATGTGAGTGTGCCGGTTTTGTCTGTGCAGATTGTGGTGGCTGAGCCCATTGTCTCGCAAGCTGAGAGCTTTCGGACCATTGCGTTATCCCGCATCATCCTCTTCATCGAGACTGCGAGGTTTAGCGTGACAGCCAAAGGTAAGCCTTCTGGAATTGCGACCACAACGATAGTAACTGCTGCAGCTATGATGAACAGAACCGAATTCAGGATATCACTGGCTTCGGTTTTGCTGCCAATGAACTCCTTGTGACCACTCTCGTCTCGTGTATTCCCCGTGAAATAACGAACCATCATAACCACGAGGACAAGCCCAGCAACGCTTAGACCGACCTTCCCGATGAAGGAAGTGAGGTTGTTTAGGCGTTGTTGCAATGGCGTCTCTTCGGTCACGTCGTGAGTTATCAAGCTCATCATTTGCCCCCATGACGTGTTCATCCCTACTGATGTCACAAGCATATGACCATACCCATCTGTCACTTTTGTCCCCGAAACCAAAAAGGGATTTCGGGTCTCGTCCACTTCAACGTGGTTGCTCTCCCCCGTCATGCTGGATTCATCAACTCTCATGGAAAAACCGTCCAAGAACAACCCGTCAGCAGGTATCTGATCACCCGTTTTTAAGCACACAACATCCCCCACTACAATATCAAAGATTGAAACTTTTTGCCTGTGCCCATCTCTCACTACCTCGACTTTAATGTTACTGCTTTCATTAGATAGCTTCAGAAACTGTCTGCTTTGTTTGTAGTTACTGATGGAAGAAACTGCGAGAACGAGAAAGATAGCGAGGATTATACTGCCCCCATCGTACCATCCATCCTCGGGGCCGTGCTCTTTGATCCCGAAACCAAGAGACAGAACCGCGCAGATGAGAAGGATGACGATGGTGGTGTCCTTGAATGCTTCAAGAACAAAGGAGAAGAAACTTTTAGCAGGTGCCTTCTTGTACGTGTTGGAACCGAAAACTTGAACTCTATACTCTATGCCAGCTGCATTGCTGCCATCAATCCCGCCCTTCTCATCAGCTTCGAGTAGAGCCGCCATTGCTTTAACCCCACCAAGGCTCGAGAGCCCGTCCATGTCCCTCTTGCTAACCATGTCACTCAGCATATTCTTGTCAATGTCAAAAGAGGGTTTGTGATCCTTATCTTCAATGGCAATGGCAACAAAAGATCTGCTGCTTAATAACTGCAAGAAACCCGAGCTTTTCTTAGCAACAGTCCTCTTCTTGGTCAAGAAAACCAAGAAACAGATGGCTCTGTAGGCCTTTTGCCACCGCTTTCGAGGCTTTTGCATGGAGCGGATGAACACCATTGTATCATCAGCAGGCTTTGGTGAAGCTGGAGCCATGGCAATAAATGCAGAGAACCAGAGGGATGAAGGGATATATATCTAACAAGATCGAATCAGGAGGTATTTTGCTAGTGATTTTGAGTTGATAAATTGTTTCTTTCTTTTATAATGAAAATCCCAGACGTTATGTATGGTAGGAGGGGAGCTAAAGCGTGTGTTTTCCTAATCTTTCGCAATTTTTAACTACTTGGTTTCTGGGAAGTGACCAGGTAATTTCTTGGAAACGTCTGGGAATTTGAGGAAGAAATATGAATGGGAAAACACTCTGTGAAGTGTGTACATATATTTTTAGATATTCTTGTAATTTTCTTAATTATTATTATTATTATCATAATATAACAAGACTTTACTATTATCAAAACACTAATTCTAGCTTGATTTAATTAGGTAGTTGTTGACAATGTTCAATTTTCAATGAATAATTTCATAGCAATCAGCGAGAAATTGTAAGGAAGTTATTTCAAAATGACTCTTGACTTATTATTATTATTATATTAAACGGAAATATAATGAATTTACAATAAAACATCTAATTCATTACCTTGATGATTTTTTTGAAAATTTTAATGAATTTATAACGGAACTTCTAATCCACTACCCAACCTGACTTGACGATTTCCGTGAAAATAAATGGAACCATAGCATACACTACGTAGTTGGCTGCTTTCAATTTCATGAGCTGAGTCAAGCAAATATTCTTTTGTTTAGTCAATGGTCATGGACTTCTATAGTCAAGTATGGTCAAAAATCATTTCTTTATTATTACCCAATGGTCCCTTTATGTTGCCAATCTAAACTAATAGAAGAACGTAACTAAATAGATTGGCAATCGTTATATCGTGCATCAGGGCGCACAATACGACTTAAAACGACGTCGTTTTTATAAGGTGGTCACCAGACGGACACCGTTCTGTCCGTCTAATCTCATTATAATTTTTTATTTTTAACACTTGTATTTGTGTATTATATTAAGAGTTTATGTGTATTATATATTATGTTAGATTATGTGTATTATGTTAGGAGTTTATATGTATTCTACCATACAATTCTGTACATCCGAAATAAAGATTTTTTTTTTAAAAAAAAATTTAGAAGTTATCAGTAGAAATAGGTTGTAGCTTGACTTAATATAACAAGACTTTACCATTATCAAAACACTAATTCTAACTTGACTTAACTAGGTAGTTGTTCACAATGTTCAATTTTCAAAGAATAATTTCATAGCAATCAACGAGAAACTTCAAGGAAGTTGTTTCAAATTGACTCTTGACTTTAAAAAAAGAAGTTATAATAGCATTATTGTTGAAGCATTTATTTTATTTACTTTTTTAAAACTATACAACATGAAGTTCACCCCTACTTTCTTGTGAGAGAGGCCATCCATGTCACTCAGCGTCCTCTTAGAGTCAATGTTGAAAGAGAGTTTAAACAAGGATACAAGTTGAACGAAGCATAAAACGTCGCTACATAAATTGCTAGTATTATACAGAAGCTTGGGTTTTGAAGCTGTCAAAAGGCAGAAAAGTAGTAGTTTTACATATTACAAATACTAAATCCACCGTAAAACGGAATAATAATTACATTGGTTAAGTAAATTTTATATCCAACGTTTTCACTTGGACTTTGCTGCAGCAGTCCTCTGGACAGTTGAGACGCCATCAACAAATTTTGTTCGGAAAAGCACATTCGCATTGTTAAACATGCCTTCTTTCAAAGACACAACTATAAACTGCACACAGTAACACATATTTTAAGAATAAAAACAGGAAGCTTAACCCAAACAAGAGTACATACATAGTTAAAAAGAAAAACCTGGGAATGTGGAAAGTGTGTCTTAATCATCCTGCCAATGTTCTGAGTGTGACTAAGATCAAGAGCTGCATCAACCTGCCCAAACATAGAATGAATGCCAGCCCATCATAAAATCGTACCAACATGCATACTACTATTGGACAAGACTTGAAGAAGTTTCAGACTAATACCTCGTCAAGTATGTAAAGTGGAGCTGGTTTGAAAAGAAGCAAAGCCAGTATCAGAGAAAGTGCGAGCAGTGATCTCTGCCCCCCACTAAGTTCTGACAAGGATTGTTTCCAAACACTTCCAAATGCTACACGAACCTCCAACCCATCCAAGAAGCTACCCCCTTCAGGAGGATCCAGCTTTGCACTCGTGCCAGGTAAAAGTGTGGAAAATATTGATCCAAAGTCACTGCAAAAAGTATGCAACTTCTCAAACACAGTATCATTTGTAGATTTAAATTGCAGGTAAACAGTAAAACCTAAAGAGAAGTCATCGAGGGAAACATTCTCTACCTGTTAACTTTCTCCCAAGTAACTTTAAGTGTTTCTTTCTTCTTCTCATCAAGCTCTTCAATCACCTTCTTGATCTTTGATTTGTCATTCTACAGGAAGATTACTGTTGAGCATACGGCATTGCAGTGATAGCATACACTAATAATTGACAACACCAACCTCAATGATGTTCTTCTTAGATATTAAATCATTGTACTCATCTTCAGCTTTTTCAAACATTGCCATGACCTTTTTATTCACCCTTTTTTCAAGGCTGTAATACAGGGTATTAAAGAATTGATAAGTCAAAGACAGGAGAAGTCTTCTAGTCAAAGTTGAAATTTGTACCCCAAAAAAAAAAAATAAATTAAAACAAAAATTACCCTGATTGTTCAGCTTGTAGCTTTTCAAAATCCTCCTTGGTTTTACGAGGATTACGCGATGCGAAATCATAATCAGTTCCACTTTTTCCAAAAAGTTGTTTCTCGGATGCAATCCAGGCATGCTTCTCAAGCAATTTCTCTACTCTAAGAGAGCAATCTTTCTGATCCGTTTCCATGCGTTTTACCTGCAAAAAATTTACAGATGAAAGATGTTGTTCATCCATGCACATAACTAGAGCAAGTGGGTATATGCCTATTAAGTAAATAACCTCATTTTCCATTCTCTTCTTCTCAAGAGATGTCTCACTAAGTTTATGTTGAATTCCCTGCTGCTCCTTGAGGATGCTTGAAATTTGTGAATCACGTTCCTTCATCTTCAAGCGTGCTGAGTCAAGTTCTGTTTGGGCCAAGTTGTGATCACCATTCAAAGAAGCAACCTGCAACACGGAAGTTAAATTACAAAGAATCAATTTTTCGGTGCATTACTATTTGACAGGAAAAGATAATTTGTCAATGGTATATAGCAATAACCTTTGCCCTCTGAGAATCAACTCCATTTGTAAGGTCAGTAATTTGCTTCTTCAAAGAAGCTAACTGACTCTCCAATGTAGTATATTCCTGTTTGACAGCTTCCACCTCCATTATGAGCCTCTCCCTTTCATTCTCATGCCCCTGATAGGATCACAATCATTTTATTGAATACCCTAACATTTATCATGGCCTTATCAACTAGAGAACTATTAAAACAAATAGAATGCATAAAACAGAAAGACTAAAACAACTCAGGTTGTGATACTAACAGATGAACTAAAAAGGCAAAGTGGAGTATAATTAGATTATAAAGCACACTTGCTTTCCATGAGCATTTGACAAGATAATGTTAGAATGAGTCAACAACAAGATAGCACAAAGTAAGAGGGTGAGGAATTGACAGACAACCACATTGATGTTAGTTGCAAAGAATTGCAAATTTAAATTCAACCATTTAATAACATGTTACTAACTTCAATTCTTCAAAGAGCAGTTCTAACTGCTTTTGTATTAAAAACCTGTAGGTATGAAAAATATGTAAGAATACGCAGGTTGCTAAAGAGTCCCATGAACTGTTGATAACAATACCTACCTTTAGGTCCTTCAACAATGACTGAGTCTGACCCTTTACTGTCTTAATCTTCTTTTCCAAATCCTTGAGCCTACTTTCCCTACTACCAGCATGATCATGGATTGACTTTTCAAGAGATGACACTTTGGCAACCCAGCTTGCATACTGGAGCTCCTTCTCTTGCACAGCTAATTTTGATTCCTCTAGTTCCTGTTCAATCCTCTTTACTAGTTCTCCAAGCTATGTAATAACACAATGAATGAATACGAGGATTTATTTATATTTACAGAAGTACGGTAGGAAAACCAAATAATGATAGAAAGAATATAATAGCATAAAACTTCATATACAAACACAAGATAAGTGGTTCAACCTTATGATGTTCATTCTGCTCAGCTCTATTCTGAAATAATGAAAGATCATATGACTTCAGTTCCAATTGTGTCTTAAGGTCTTTGAACTTGCTTTGAAGAGGACGAAGCTCATTGATCTAAAAGCCCAAAAACAACTAGGTCAACCCCCTGGAGAGCAATACCATTAAGCGGTATATAATACTTTCTAATGTTGAAATAACTATAGACTGTTTTCAGTGTAAGTGTTAGCCAATAAAGACATTAGGCATGTTGTTTTAACAGCAATAAATAAATAAATCAGCAATGTATAATCAAAGATTTTTTATATTTTGATCACTAAAAGTACTAAAAGTAATAACTTTATAAAAAATTTAATAAATGACCACTAATAGAGAAAGCCCTAGTTGTAATTAAAAGACCTAGATTAAATGCAAACAATTAAAAATAAGAAGACTAGTTAAAACGGGAAATTTGTGTTTGGATCTATGAAGCTAAGGTAAAACTAGCCTTAGCATCAATTTCTGAGAGACGCTTCTGATGCAAAGAAAGTTTTGAGTCAGCCTCAGCCATAGCATGAAGTTTCCCCAATAATTCACCACCACCTCTGCAGCAACAAAAAAGATGTGTGCTTTAAAATGCCTGCATGCAGCTAAACTCAACACATTTGTCTCTAATAATATGAGGCAGCGAGACAAAACTAGCTATTAAATCATTTAACTAATGTTCCAGCAGAAACAAGCAGTTGAATACATCCTTATGAGAGCATCAAAGTTAAGCAGGACCAAATGGTCACATACTTTCGGCTACCACCAGTCAGAAGTCCACTAGGCTGAAAAATATCTCCTTCAAGAGTCACACTTGGTATACCAACTTCGCGATTAAAGGCAACCTATAATGCACAGTAAATTTATTAGATGATGGGCAAGATTCAAAAAAAAATAAGCTGCAAATAATTTCTCGCTCTAATTAATCACAAAAGACTCAGATTTTACAGAATGCCAAAGAAGTAATACACTAATACTACAGAGAATTTAGCTTGAAATTGTTTTCTTTCAGCATGTGTAGCACAGTAACTATAGAATTTTATGAATCAGCATTTGTTGGCATCCATCAGCCCCCATCAACTTCATGATTTAATTTGTATTTACAACATTATTGCTGATGCCATTATTCGTTAATTCCTCAACCATACACAAAAAATTGGCATCTTAACTGACTTCCTGAGCATTTTAGTCTAAACCAAGTTATCATGCTATAAGTGCCTAAATTCGAGAGCTATATATATAAACACAACAACATGAATGACCAACCATAACATTGTAAAATAGTTAAGTATAATCAATGCCAGCAGTGAATATTGACTGCTACAGAGAACCAGTCAAAGATGCCAGCATTCCAAATAAATAGTGTACTACTATTTGCAAATTTACCTCTCTTGCAGCATCAGTGGTTTTGCAAACAAAGGTTGACCCAAATACATATTCCATTGCACTCTGCAATACATATATCCCAAAAATTAGTTAATAAGGATAAAAAAAAAAAAAAAAAAAAAAAAAAAATCCATCTGCATATTATGACTGTCTACATAGAAATAGATTAAAAGATTATCTGGAGAATGAAAACGAAACTCATTAGGATTGGCAAAATCTTGGATGATAAGGCCATAAAAATCAGAACCAGAAAGCATAAAATTATGGAAGGGATAAATGCAATGGTAGCATACCTTGAGTTCTTCATCATATCCAATCAGAGCAAGAGCCACTTCGGCATTGCCCTTACCTACCTGAAAAAGGAAACAGATAAACAATCATCTTATCATAATGCAGTAACATAACAATTCAGAGATACAGTCAAGCACAGGAAAAACAGAGTGCGATGACTAACCAGTCTAGTTGCAGCACCTTGAGCTCTTGCAGGGACAGGATGACTTTGAATTTTGTTTAGAGGAATAATAGTTACTCTTCTCCTAAGACCACCATTTTGAAGAAGTTGCTTTCCAGTGTTTTCTGTGTCTACAACAATATTATACAACTTTCCACCAGCAGCAACCTGCACGAAATTTATAATAAAGCACCTCAAAACTCATGGCTAAAGATCACCCTGAATTGTTGAAGTATAATTAATGAATCAAGCAAAACACCAACCTCTAGGGCAGTCATTGAAGAACTATCCTTCACTTTGATGAGTTTTGCAACTACACCTTTCACCCTTGATCTATCAAAATTCTTCACAGGGTCATTGTATGTAAAGTCAACATTGGCTAGTTGTGAAGAAAGAACACGGATGTCATCCTTTAACTTCTGCACCATCGCTACTTCAACTACACGGTCCTGATAGCATTTATCACCAAGTAAAAACAAATTCAGATTTGGTATTGGTGGAAATCTTTGGGCACCAGTAGGAGAAATGATGTATACCTTTTGTAATGCTTCCATCTGCTCCTCCTTGTACCCCAGAGATTCCAATGCACTTTTAGTCTTTTCCACTTCTTTCTTCCGAGCACTGAGTTCATTCTCAACAGCAGCAGCCTCTTCATGCTTTGAGAGCAACTGCTTTTTCTTCTCCTTCAGTTCTTTCTCACAATGATTTATTTTAGTTTGTAACTGCTTCAATTCTGTTTCAGCAGTTCCAACAGCAACTTTGGCATCCCTTAGTTGATCTTCAAGACATTTCTCCTCATTGCCACTACTCTTACCTGCTAGCACACCCTACAGTATGACATATATCATTTAGTTGGTTGACTAATTTAATTTCAGTACAAACTTTTCAACTTTCTTGTGCATATAGTGCAACAGTTTCAAATTGTTCACCTCATACTCCTTCTCGTACTCTTCAAGACTCTTAGAAAGATCCTGAACACTTTTCTTGAGATCAGATGCTCCTGCCTCGGCATTTCGAACAGCAGCAGCCTTCTCTTCTGCTAATTGTTTCAACTCTTCAAGATTTGTCTCAATCTGGAAAGTGGAAACAGCCAAAAAAATGAATGACCTAATATCCAAGTGCAAAAAAAGATAAAAAGAAATTTTAATACCAACATGTTCAAAAGAACAAATAATTTCTATGGACTTTCACCCTTCAAACCTTTTTAGCATTATCTTTCTCAGTCTCAAGAATATCCTCTTGGTTTTTCATCACAGAGGTTTCTTTCACCAAATTACGCGAAAGAGCATCAACTTTCTCAGACAAACGTTTCACTTCCCCACCCATACTTGCTTCTTTTTCAGCCTGCAGTTCTGATGATTTCTTTTCCAAAAGTTTTACTTCTTCACGCATCTTATCTGCATTACTATCAATTTCAGATATCTTAGCTTTCATTTCTTCCAAACCCTTAACTGCATTATCCCTAATCTGCTCAGCTTGTACATAGTCATAGGCAATACAAAATCGCTTAAGGCGATCCAGTTCCGCATTTCCATTTGCCCACTGCATGTATTGCATCCTTTCTTTTCTCAGTTTCTCCAAAGCAGGAAGAATTTCGTGGTCAAGGAGCTTGTCAATCTCATCAACCTTGCTTTGTTTCTTTTCAAGTGTTTTCAGCGCAGCCTCTTTCTTTGTCTCATACATTCTTGTACCAGCAGCCTCCTCAAGCATAGACAACACTTCAGGAGGTTTCATGTTCAGGACTTTGGTAATGCGCCCTTGCATTATAAGAAAATGGGGGTTATTTACATTAAGTTGTACAGAGTGAAAAAGATTCTGCACACGATTTGGTTGTGCTAGGTGGCCATTGATAAGATACTTGTTCCTTCCACCAACTACAATCTGCAAATAAATTTATTACACATTACAATTTGTTGCAATTGAAGAAAATGGATATAAATATTCAGTGAAGCAGGGTAAATTTTTTTGGATAGGCGACTAGTGGTCTTTCCAGCAATCTCATCTCATAATCTAACAACTATTACAAGTTCACCATCTCAATTCAACGCCCTCTATGAATTAAAGCATAAACTTCATAATGCATACTTAATGAAATTTAGCACTAAAATTCAGCACGAACTGTAAAAATCACAGATTTCGCATTCTGTTAAGAAACTCCACGGTGTAATGACACATCTATGCAGGCTAACATATAGACAACCACGCATAAGTATGTCTGTGCAATGGAATTCAGCTGAATAGAGTAAACTCACCTGGCGAGTCACGGTAATTTCAGGACAATCCTCATACCCCAAAGGACTCCGATTACGGTCCGAGTTATCAAACACTATTGACACTGTGGCCTTAGTAATTCCAGCTTGGCCTTGCTTGTAGACTAGCTCTTGGAGATTCGAAGCTCTAACCTGCTGCAAATTCGTGATTCCGAGAACAAAGCAAATGGAATCCAGAATGTTCGATTTGCCAGACCCGTTCAGACCAGTGATGGCATTGAAAAACGGATCAAATCCAGAAACCACCGTCCTCGTAGCGTAGGACTTGAATCCCTCCAAACAGATTTCCTTGATATGCATTGTAGCTAGGAGTCAACACGCAGTGAGAACAAAAAAGCGAAACCCTAGAAATGAAGTTTTGGAGATCAAAACCTCAAAGGTACCTAACAGAAATACTCCGTAGGTTATGTTCCGGTGATCGGAAAACTGGTTTTCCAGTAAAGAGTGGCGCAAATGAATGGATTCTGTGATGATTTGAGTTTAGTGTTTAGCTTTTGGTAAAACGAGGCGGGAAAAACTTTTTCGAACCCATTTTGAACTCGTTCTTTTTTTCTTTTTTCTTTTCCTTTTTTTTTTTTTCTATTTTCCGGCAAATTATTACATAGATCCGGATCCACCTTGCAATGTGGACCCACGTCCAAAAAAATATAACTTATATATTGAATGTTTACAATTTACATATTGAATATTCGCAATTCAAATTACGAACATTCAGAACGTAAATTATAAACATTCATTATATAAATTGTGAATTTTGATATGGGTTCATGCACCTTGCAAGTAGCATAAGTGTTGCAGTTTTTCCAATCGTTATATCGTTATACAATGCATTGTGCGCCCTACTCAAAACGACGTCGTTTTTATGTTAAGAATTTATGTGTATTCTGCTAAGAGTTTATGTGTATTATATATTATGTTAGCTTATGTGTATTATGCTATGAGTTTATGTGTTCTACTATACAATTATGTACATTCTCGAAATAGAGTTTTTTTTTTTTTTTTTTAAGTTAACAGCAAAAACGACCAACGGGAAACGAAATTAAAAAAAACTACAACAAATACAAAACGACGTTGTTTTGGCCAGGGTGCACAATGCATTGTGCGCCTTGGTCCACGATATAATTTGTTTTCGAAATCGTTATATCGTGCACCAGGACGCACAATGCATTATGCGCCCTGCTCAAAACGACATCGTTTTTATGTTAAGAGTTTATGTGTATTTATATATTATGTTAGCTTATGTGTATTATGTTATGAGTTTATGTGTTCTACTATACAATTATGTACATTCGAAATAGAGTTTTTTTTTTTTTGAAGTTAACGGCAAAAACGACCAACGGGAAACGAAATTTCTAAAAAAAAATAACAAATACAAAACGACGTTGTTTTGGCCAAGGTGCACAATGCATTGTGCACCCTGGTCCACGATATAATTTGTTTTCCTCATTAGGCCTATATAATAGGCCATAACTCACAAGTTCTTAGCCCAGTTTTCAGTTATGTTCTTTTTTCAACAAGATGAGCCCAAAAATTAAGGCCCACTAAACATTCCAGCCCAGCTCATTTCCAGGCTGCAGCCGACCAGAAACGTCCACGTCAGAAGGCGGTTAACTTTTGAATCATCGTCAAACCTCTTCGGAAATGGTTGCAACCCAAACCTGTAACTCCCTCCTCCTCTAATATATATTACTCCGTATATATATCTCTGACATTTATCAGAAAGCGAACGGAGACATTTATCACATTTTGCAATATCCCCTATGAACCGAGTTTTCTCCAACAATTTCGAGTGGAAATCTCACTATACGTCAGTATCCATGGCTTCCATTCGATCCCGCTTGGAGCACTGTTTCACTGCCGACGCTCTCAGAGCCTATCTCGCAGAGTTCATCTCCACCATGTTCTTCGTCTTCGCTGCCGTCGGCTCTAGCATGTCGTCCAGTACGTCAAATTCAAAGCCATTTACTCATATTTTTTCTCAAATTTGAATTGATCGGTTAGATAAGGAGTGGTGTATTTAATTTAGTGTTGTGTGAATGCAGGGAAAATGTCGCCGGAGGCGGCGTCTGATCCGTCTAGCTTGGTGGGGATTGCAGTTGCTAATGCTTTTGCGTTGACTGTGGCGGTGTACATTTCCATTGGTGTCTCCGGCGGCCACGTCAACCCGGCGGTTACTTTTGCAAGGGCAGTTGGCCGCCACATCAGCCTTTCCATGGCCATATTTTACTGGATATCGCAACTGTTGGGATCTGTTATGGCTTGCGTCCTCCTAAAAGTATTTACTGTTCAACAGGTATATATTTACATTTCAACTAACAGTTTTGAATTTTGCTCTTGATGAAATTTTGGCTGTTAATAATTTTGATTCATGGCCAGCATGTACCAGTTTTGGGGATTCCGCAAGAAATGACAGGCTTTGATGCGGCCATATTGGAGGGCATGATGACATTTGTTCTGGTGTACACAGTTTATGCGGCGACGGACCCTAGAAAGGGGGCACTGTGTGCCATGGGACCCTTGGCAATCGGAATGATCGCCGGCGGCAACGTCCTTGCATCAGGAGCCTTCACCGGCGGATCCATGAACCCGGCGTACGCGTTTGGGTCTGCATTGATAGGAGGAAATTTCGGGAACCAAGCAGCGTACTGGGTCGGTCCCTTAATCGGCGGAACCATTGCCGGAGTTTTGTACGACAAGGTGGTTTTCCCATCGGAATCCGATGATTCAACCAGACCCGGTTTGAGTGAGGTTGGGGTTGTCTAAATGCAGGATTCATGTCTGTCTTAATTCTTCTTGTTTTAACTTGTAATCCATTAAACACGGAGCAGTAGATATTATATACTCCGTATGTTTTATATGTTACTATCATGTGAATGAAGTGTGTTCATTAATGTTCCTATGTTGTAACTACTATAGTACCGTAGTTCATAAATGTTTGTATTAATACAATCTCTATATGAGTAGTTGTGTATAATCCCAAATGAGCTAACAATCGCAGCATTGCCCGGCTGTTATCACTACTAAATCCTGAAACATTGGCTTTAATTCAAAAGTTAAATTGTCCTTTCTGTTACTAGTACTATTAAAACTTCTTTTGTTGGTTGCAATATTAAGCAGTGCTAAAACATTGTCCCAAACAAAAATGAGGAAGAAGATCCTTGATGGCTTATTGAAATTAAAATGTAGTTATTTTAGTCAATTAAAATGTATTTATGTTGAATTTAATATGTAACCTGCTCTTGATCTTAGTCACACTCAGAACATTGGTAGGATGATTAAGGCACACTTTCCACATTCCCAGGTTTTTCTTTTTAACTATGTACTACTCTTGTTTGGGTTAAGGTTCCTGTTTTTATTGTTAAAATGTGTTGTGTTGGGTGCCGTGTGCAGTTTATATATAGTTGTGTCTTTGAAATAAGGCATGTTTAACAATGCGAATGTGCTTTTCCGAACAAAATTTTAATGGATGAGGAAAGTGACTACTTTCAGTTGCTTAACGAGTGGTTTTGTCCAAAAGACATTGAATTATGTTATGGAGATTGTATTAATACAAACATTTATGAATTATGGTACTATAGTAGTTACAACATTGGAACATTAATGATCACACTTCACACAACACCAAATTAAATACAACACTCCGTATCTAACTGATCAAAATTGAGAAAAATTTAAATATGCATAAATGGCTTTGAACTTGACGTACTGGACGACATGCTACACCGTCACAGTCAACTTGACGTACTGGACGACATGCTAGAGCCGACGGCAATGAAGACGAAGAACATAGTGGAGATGAACTCTGCGAGATAGGCTCTGAGAGCGTCGGCAGTGAAGCAGTGCTCCAAGCGGGATCGAATAATGGAAGCCATGGATACAGACATATAGTGAGATTTCCACTCGAAATTGTTAAAGAAAACTCGATTCGTAGGAGCCTAGTCCGTCTAGCCTGGTGGGGATTACATTGCTAATGCTTTTGCGTTGACTGTGACGGTGTACATTTCCAGTGGTATCTCCGGCGGTTACTTTTGCAAGGGCGGTTGGCCGCCACATCAGCCTTTCCATGGCCATATTTTATTGGATATCGCAACTGTTGGGATCTGTTATGGCTTGCGTCCTCCTAAAAGTATTCACATGAAATTTTGGCCGTTAATAATTTGATTATTGGCAATGATACGCAGCATGTACCAGTTCTGGGGATTCCGCAAGAACGCGGCGGCCAACGCCAGAAAGGGGGCACCGTGTGCCATGGGAACCTTGGCAATCGGGATGATCGCCGGCGGCAACGTCCTTGCATCAGGAGCCTTCACCGGCGGATCCATGAACCCGGCGTACTCGTTTGGGTCTACACTGATGGGAGGAAATTTCGAGAACCAAGTAGCGTACTGAGTCGGTCCCTTAATTGGCGGAACCATTGCCGGAGTTCTGTACGACAAGGTGGTTTTCATCGGAATCCGATGATTGGTGGTTTTCCCATCGGAATCCGATGATTTAACCAGGCCCGATTTGAGTGAGGTTGGAGTTGTCTAAATGCAGGATTCATGTCTTAATTCTTCCTGTTCTAACTTGTAGTTTAATACAGAGCAGTAGATATTATATACTCCGTATGTTTTATATGTTACTATTATGTGAAGTCTTTTGGACAAAACCACTCGTTAAGCAACTGAAAGTAGTCACTTTCCTCATCCATTAAAATATACTATGCAGAACCTTGGGAAGGGAAACAACCACCTTAAACTCTGGAAAGTAGACACAGAAAGGAAAGCAACTTGTTCAAAATGGTGGTCTTAGGAGAAAGAGAACAAAATTCAAAGCCATCTTGCAGTTTCACTTGTCTAGATACAGATAAATTATTTACAGAGCGGGTAATAATTTACAAAGCAGGCACTTCCGATAGACTTATTGGTTGCAGAGAACAAATCAAGCTTCAACCCACGGGATTATGTTAATTAAACTGCAAAGAACATCATAACTCGATCAGGGGGTAATAGTGTGACAATGCAATCTATTCTCTTGCAGCCTGCATGTTATTTCCACAGGAAGCATTCCAAACCCCCTCCTCGATACGCTGAAAAACCAGGAAAAGTTCAATAAGCACACTAACAAGATCAACAAAAGGTAACAATAAAAAGAGCCTAGCTGATGGGGCTTTAAACACTGAGTTTCCAGGTTGACAAACCCTATCTGATGCATCACTAAAGATTAAAACACTGAAGAAATACCTGCAAAAGATAATTATGCAGCCAATCCAGCGTTTGTGGAAATGTATTAGCTGATATGTTGACAACTGTCAAACCCTGTTTATGAAGAATGCATTCCAATTTGGGAATCAATTGGTCAAAAGAGAAAGGAACTATATCAGACAGCATTTCATAGTTTTGAAGAAAGAAAATAATCATAGAAACATCAGATCGCCAACAAAGATCAGAATCCCACAATTATAAAATAAGAAAGAAAATATGTGTTTATAAGGCTATGGGTTAGACTAGCTAATTAGTTGGATTAAATCTTTTAGTGTGGTTTGACCCATGTGCATTATAACCCAATTGAGTGACCCTAGCCAAATCTTAGGGTGTGTTTGGTTCGCACATAGGAATCGGAATCGGAATGAGTATCAAATACTTGGTAATGGTAATGGGTTTTGATGAAAGTATTTAACATGTTTGGTAGTAGGGTGGAATGGGAATGGCTACTAATAGTAGTGCTTGAAAATGAATAAAGGGAATGAAACCCTTATTGTATTTGGGTATGGGTTTTTCAATTGATGGGGTATTTGAAACCCATAGTACTGTTCTAAAAACCTATCAACCAAACAACAACAATCACTTTCATACCCATTCCTATGGGCAAAACCCACCAACCAAACACACCCTTAGTTGTTTATAACAAGAATGAATCAAGCACTTTGACCCTTGCACTCACATTATCAGACCAAAGCTGAGCTGAACATTATAGAGCAAGACATGCCTCAAAATCCATCACTCATTATTGTCTCTTTATTGTAAGATTGCAAATTGAAAGTAACTATGTAAGAAAATATTTTTGACGCTTATGTAGGAAACAATTTGCATGTCTTAAAGCTCAGGAAAAGGAGAACTATCATGCTTAGCGACACATAAGCCTACCTGTGATGAGAATGAACAAAGGTAGTTCTGAATGGTTTTTAAGTTGCTCATTAATTTATCCTTGTCCTGAGAAAGATCAAGGATGACTTGATCAGTCAAAAGAAGTAAATGATTGCATATACAAGAGTATGTGTGTGTGTGTATTGGTAAGAGATTGCATCTTTGAAAATGTGAAGAAGCTCAGACGGCACAAGAAGCCACTTCTGATATAATGTTATGCAGGAGACTGCAATAAAGCAAAATTATCAAGGAGAGAGCATATTAGATTAGAAACCTGGATTGGCAATTTCTTTCTGCTTGCACTATTAGCTATCCACTCCTCAAGTAATGCCTGCATAAGAGGATTAACTTTGGTAAAATTATCAAATAGTATATGGCTGAAAATGTGTGAATTAACAAAGAAGATAAGATCAATTCTGAAAAGAAAAAATTCATAGAACTAATTCCACTTCTCTAATATTCCAGCAGTGATGGGCTAGAAAAATTTCAGTTGATGGTAGTGGTATATCCACGAGAAGAGTTTTGGTAAGACCTCATGATCAAATTCAGCCATTTTTAAAACTATAGGAATGACAATTGGTTGAGCGCCATATTTCTCTTTTCTACCACTGGGATTTTTATCAACAGGTGAACTTTTGACTGCTTCATCTGCACAATCAGGAAAGCAGTCAGAGCAGTTTCAATTAGCCAAATCTCACACGAAAAAATAAAAAATAAAAAAATCAGCACACTAAGACTGGAAGATGAACACATTCACAGTATGAAGAGTAGGCCTTGACCTTTAATTTCAGGAAATAAAGACTTCAGAGCACTTGTAACCTTATTTAGCTCATCAGCAGATACTCCTTCCACTGAAATCACATTCTCAGAATTGCAACCTTTGCTGTTGCAATGACTATCAGTTCCTGAAGTGACATCACTTTGTGTTTTGTTTTTGTAGTCCACTTTCAGAGAATTTGGCCCTTCCTCATTTGCTCGGGCAGTTGATGGTGATTTGTTCTCCTCATCCATCAAGTATATACTAGGATCCAAATGCATTCCCTGCCATAATCATAACCATCTGAAAGAGATCACAACTTTTACTGGAAATTTATATTGTTGACACAACTATATAAAAATGCAAAATATTATTTTACTATTGTTAAATCTAAGATTGGGCCAAGATCACTCACTAGGCTATAATCCACATCGGCCAAAGCACACTAAAAAATTGAATTCAATCAATTAGTTAGTCTAACCCATGACCTTATAAACCTATATGTCTCTCTTACTTTTTTCAAAGTCGGACTCTTAACAACTATTCTAGTAGTAAAAAAAAAATTCCTAGAAAAAGGAGCTACAGCATTTTTAATGCTTGTAGTTGTATATTTTCTTTTTTTGCATCTTCGGGCTCTAGCCATCACTTGGTGAAAAAGGTGTTAGTTCACGTCTTCTTCCACTATTTTCAATTAAGAGGCCTTCATATAATACATAGGCCCAATCAGGATGAGTTTATTTCTAACTAATTTGAGAGTATCTACTAATACAAGGACTTTAAAAAAAATTATTGTGTTTGGATAGACTTATGAAAAGAACTTATGACTTTTGAAAGCTATTTTTGAGTTCATAAAATTCATGTAACATAAATCTCTCTGGGAACCATGAGAGATCATAATACTTGGCATAGAAGGGCTGAATCCCTACACATTATAAATGTGTGATATGAATGGGTAGTTAATGCATTGAGAATCATACCTCAATTATGATTGGCTTCCCATCTTTCATTGCTTTCTTTAAATCACCGGCCAAACCTGCACAAATTTAGAGATTATGTGCCATATCATATTTCTTGAAATATTCCAAGGAGCTATTTCAATACCTTTCCTAACTACTCTGCATTCTCTGCAAAATTCTGTTATTAGTTCCTCGGGGGAGCTGAAATTTCGTGCCCATACATCAGAAGATGCCAAAGGTGCACTGCACGAATCAAGTATTCTAGTCAGGTATGGATCCTTGAATTATCTTTTTTTTTTATATAACAGTTTCTCAATCAATTATGGAGTATGAAGGAAGGTATATGCATGGAATTCTGAGAGCATGAATAATTTGTACCACGTATATCTAAACAAGAACGTCTCAAGATGGTTACATACTCTGTTGATGTGCGGAGTAGTTCATAGACCATATCTGTCTGTCAAAAAAAAAAAAAGTGTACACGAAAGTCATAAAACCTGAAATATGGCATACCAGTAGAAATGATGTAAGCATGAAACCCAAGTTTAATACCAAAAGTATACCTTCAAGACATTTGGCAAGTTCAGCCTCTGTGCAACCTGGGTAGAAATGGTCGACTTTCCAACACATGCAGTGCCACATACAAGAATAACCAAAGGTACTCTTTGATGGTGAAATCTAAAGGGGAAGTAATGAAAGAAATTGGAATGTGAATTTAGGCAGTTCAATCTTTAACTCAGTCATTGACATAGAAAATTGAATTTCATTTTAGAAATACAATAATGAGTATTGATTTAATTCCTTTAGTTGAATGTCATTTCAGAAATACCACTATTTTAAAATTTAAATCTTCGTATTACTCATGTAAATATCTCTTTCTAAAGAGAAGGCACCTTTGGTTTCCCCATAAATCAAATTGATTGATTAAATGAATTGGAGAAGGGGGTAGAGAGAGAGAGAGAGAGAGAGAGAGAGAGAGCATAAAATGTACAGTGTGTCATTGCTGATAAAAAATAAAATATGAATAATTAAAAAAGATGTCTGATAAGACAATAAGGATATGTACCATATTCTGTTGCACTGTAAGGTGGCATTTCACTCTTTCTATTTATTTATTAATCCTTGTTTGGTATAGCATGGCTGATGCAATTAGTAGTGGCAGACCACAACAACAGAGATAAAAGTGAAAGATAGGCTCCATATGCTTCAAGTGAACTACTCCGTAATAAGAAAATGTATGTTTTTTAAAGGAAATAAAAATTTTAATTTGAAGATCTCAATTCCATATCATTTTGGTGTAATAGATCCCACACCTCCGGTTATGGATTCTTAGGCCCAATTCTTTGGGGTGGGAGGGTGCTTATAGATTTTTGTAAATCTTTTACAGCCCTTTATATGTTAACTTATGTTCGTATTTATCCAAAAAATACATAGACTATTTAATGTACTCGAGAAAAAAAAAATCAAAACACTATGAACAGAATGCAACTAACCTCGTCATCATCTTGTAACGGTTTATATACTCTTCTCCATAACCTCGCCGCTCCATAAGCTGCAGACATCCAATTGGAAAGCAAGGTTGACCTTTCATTTCAAAAACTTTTAAAAGCTTTGCACATGGAAAGCCAATTAAGCAGGCTACAATTTTAATATGGTTGGCTTGTAATCCAGAAATTATGTGATTGTCAAAGAACATAATGGATAGGAAATAATGATTATGAAAAGAAAGAATAACCTTAAACAAATTTGCTTCCAAGTCTGATTGTGAGCTGCAAAATGTTATCAAACCAATAGATTTTTAAGAGCCAACAAAACAAGAGCAAAAGTGAAAACAAACTGAAATTCATAAAGAATTAAGTTAAGATTGCATACACATCAAGAAGGCTGTTATCCACGAGAAGCTTCTTAAGTTCTAGGGAAACTTTAATAGCCACATGATTTGGTATCTGTAACCAAGTTATTGTTATTAACCACAAAATGATGCCACTAATCCATAGGAAAGAACTATAGCTGGTGATAAACTTTGAAGGTACATCATCATGGAATTCCATTTCTTAGTCCTGAATTATTAATATACTACAAACTAATAACTGCTTCCATTCATATATTCTGATTATTGCAAACTGATAACGAGAAGATATGAAGATGTTAAACAACAATTCTACCGATAACTGAAGAATAATTGTATTTCAATCATTATATCTAACAGCAACTGAATTTTCAGCATGCGAAAAGGAAAATGTTAGCAAACCTTAGTGACAGTTAACATTCTGCTGAGCAAAAACCTTGAGAGAACATAGTAATGATCGGCATTCTCACCTAGCCATACTTTAACCTGAAACAAAATCAAAATTCAGGATCAATCGAAAGGAAATACGCGGAAATGCAAAGAGGAATTTAGAATTAGGAGATAGGAAAGGAGTACCTTAACAAAATCATACTTGGAGGAAGCGTTACGAGTGGATATTCTAGCAGGTTTCGCGGGAAAAGGAGGAGGAGCAGAAGCAGGAGCAGATCCTTCTTCGTAGTCATCTTCATCCAATTCATCTTCTACATTATTGCTAGGGCTTGCCATCACCACTCCCTTGTCCTTCCTCATCTTTCTCTGTCTAATTTTCTCTCGAAACGCTGAACATGAAGACTCCGAATAGATGTTTTTGCCGTCACGTACAATTTGAAGGAGAATTTTATTCTTCTCCTTCGTTTTATTCTCTGCTAATTGTTGTAAATACTTTTTTTTTTTAGAGAAAATAAAATAACTATTATGAAATTATGGAGTAGTTAAATAGTATTCCCACAAAATGTTTCTCTTAAATTAAGACTTCCTTTTTTGAGTACTATTGGTTCTATTACAATGCAATTATTTGTTCATAACTACTTTCTCAACCAATTGAAGCACAAAGAGCCAATTAGGGATGACAATTCTACCCGCACCCAACGGGTTTCCCGCATTCCCGCCCTTACGGATTTTAAAATACTCGCACAATTTGGGTAATGGGTGCGAGTATGGAGGGAAATTTGTATACCCGCGCGAGTATGGGGGCTCCCCGCACCCGCACCCGCACTTATATATATTGTTATTAGTATTCATTTATTATGTAAATTTATGTATATTTTATAATTTAAAATGCATAATGAATTAAACTTCTTAGTTTTTTGTTTATGAAATTTGAATAGGAACAACACAAATAACATAGAGTAAACACTTAATACAATTTATACTACCAACACAATTTTAGTTCCAATTAAAAACTAACTTCATTGGCTCTTATTAAATTTTATAGTTATGTTCAAACTTTAAAAAATAAAAATAAAAATCCATATGATAATTATAACTGTAGTATAAGATTTTTATTAGATTTAAGTGTAATATAAATAATTATAGTTGCGGGTTGGGTATTACCCGCACCCGCAAAATCCCCGCGGGGGCGAGTATGGGATAGGATTTTCATTACCCACGTGGGTGCGGGTGCAGGGAGTGGATTAGAAATGCGGGGCGGGGGCGGGGGGCGGGGGATATATCCTCCGCACCCACCCCGCCCCATTGCCATTCCTAGAGCCAATATCACCTCCACTGAAATTCGATCCCAGACTTTAGATAAGAAAACAACTTTATTTTGATAGAAAAATATTTCATGGGTATAAAAAGCTAAGGTAATGGCTCATGGGTCTCAACAGAAGTGATTAAATATGTGGAGTGTGATTTATGTACTTAAACTTCACGATTTTAATTATTGTCAATACTCTTTCAGTCGAATCGAGCTCGTTACATGGATGAAGGTGCGCACAAATATAGCTCCTAAACCCAAAACATGTAGCTAGAGAGATGAATGATTTTCGTGAATTGTAATGTAGTCAACAAAAAAATTTAATTTTATTGTGACTAAAGAGATGAATGACGAGTTGTCATTTAATTAGTATAATTTGGTTTTAAAGTTGTCTACTTGTCTATGTGATTTGAATATTACGATTTGTATTATATGTTCCCGCCGTTATTCTTTTATAATGGAGCGTTTTATTCCGCCAAAGTAAAACCAACGTCAAACAACATATATGGAATCCAAACACAGTAGTAGCAAAACATCAATCTGTCATCCCCATTATGTTTCACAACAAAAGCTTTCCCAGATTTTGCAACCTCGTAGTGCATATATGGATTGGTGACTCTTTGTCTTAATTGCATGCATCGAAAAACAGTTCGGAGAAGCAATCAGATTTTATATTCCTTCTCAGCAACGTCTGAAACGTAAGTGCGGCTGTTTTGAGTTAGTGCCTTCCACGTATACAAATATCTGGACACGGGAGCTTCCGTAAATTTCATAGAATGTATCTTCATTTTATCCATATATTTAATTTAACATATTACATAAAATTAAAAATATTTAATTAATTTTTTTATAATATAGAAACCTGCCATCACTACCCAAAGATATGCATTACGTAGTTATAAATCTATAAGTCCAAAGAGGATAGTTGTATAATTTATAGTATAGCTTATACATTAAAAATCAAGCCTAGGGCATTAGTATAGTGAAAAAAAGTTTCACCAAAGGTATGCATTGTATAATTTCTAATATATCTTAGACATTAAATTTATAGATTACACCAAAAATTACATCTAGTCTTGCCTAAGGCATTGGTCTAGTGAACGCAAAGTTTCACTTAAGACTAGTTTCATGCATGCAGTTAGGTGCACACAAAACTTTACAATTTGGTGCTAGATTTCAAATTTAGATTGACTCGATTTACCTCCTTATGAGCTTGAAAGTAGGATTTACTGGGTTCAATATATAGTTCAAAAACCTAAGTATGAATAATGAGTCTATTCATATTAAACTATAAATAGGCCCAAGTTGCTCATTCCTTCTTGGACTGGTCTATGTGGCCTAAGCTCTTTTGATTGACTGGTCCGTCTAGTCATCCCAATATATCATCCATCAATACGATTTTTGTAACATTAAATGATTCAATTACACACTTTTTTATTCGACGGTCTAATTACATGAACATTAAAAGTTCAATACCCTATTTGAACACTTTTTCAAAAATAAAAATAAAAATTCCAACCAACCCTAAAGGTGTAATTGTTAATTGAATTTATTTAATTGTTCGCATGATGGAATTTACTTACTCAGTTGCTCTTGATAATTTATTATGTTTTGTTTGTATGTTTCTACAAACCTAAAATCTCAATTAAGATTTATGCAATCTCGTTAACACCTCACATGTTTCTACCACTTAAAAATTTTTAAGATTTACACAATCACATTAACACCTCTCATAGGTAATACATTAGGTGGATAATGGAATAAGATTGTCATAACACTAGAGAGTTCCATTATATTAATGGAAACAATACCCAAAAAAAAAAAAAAAAAAAAAAAAAAAAAAAAAAAAAAAAAAGTACCTTCTGCTATACCAATCCCCCCACAATTTACGGCAAGTTACAAAATCAAAATGAAAAAGAAAAAGAAAAAAAGAAAAAAAGAAAATTAAATTCCCAATCATATATAGATATTTGATTTAACCCTCAAAGCTGGCTTTTGGGCCACGGGAATAACATCACCCCCACCAACCGCACCATTGCCACTCCCGGCCACTTTCCTCTTAGGCTTGGCTTCTTGTAGCATTGACACAACATCTCTCATCGACGGGCGGTCCGCCGGATTCCGGCTAGTGCACAATAATGCGACCTTAAGTAATAACATCATTTCTTCCCTCACCGAAAGACAAGACGCACCAGCATTTTTATCTAACACGTCTTTTATACCGTCTTTACTCTTCAATTTCGTTCTCACCCAATCTACCACGCTATTGCCATCTCCAAATTCAGCATCCACCGATCTTTTACCCGTCAATATCTCCATCAACACTACTCCGTAACTATAGATGTCACTCTTCTCGTCAACTTGCAATGTATAAGCATATTCTGCAAACCATTTACAAATCATTAAATAAGTATGATCATTATTATTATTATAGAATTCTTCTATAGTAGCCATCGGCCATCACTATTAATGCTAATAATATTAAATATAATTATATATAATATACATTATTACATCAAATATTATATATTAATAGTAATAGTAATTATACTTAATATTATTCACGCGATATAAAATCATTTATAGTGGTTAGTGAGATAAAGCAGGACTAATCCGAAACCGATCATGACAATTTGGCTTCTAGCGCACAAAGAGTTTTGACTTTTCAAATGAAGCATAATACTAATTGTTGGGTTAATCATCATTACATCTGGATCAACTATACTTTGCAAAATCTTAGTAGGGTCCATAGGATTGAAAGAGTGAAATTAAAGCCAGGGAATAATGCACCGGAATTTATATCGTGAATCATAATACATTATAGATATGATGGATCCTGGTCCACGATATAACGATTGATAATACATATCACAAAAAATAGTTAGTTGCATATTACTATGAAATTTGAAATTATAGCAAATCATGACAACTAAGAGCAATAAAACGCGTATATTTAGTAGCACTCAAAATGTGATTAAAAAAAATTAATAAATGTCTTTTTGAAAGCATAGTGACATTTTTTATTTCATAGTTTATATTTCTCACTTTTCTTAATATTACATTCTTTTAAGTTCTTAGGTAATTAATATGAAATTTTGTAAAGGGTAATATTAAAAATAATGTGATAATTTGAATTATTGAGCGATACTACTTAAGAAAATCTTTAAGACAGAATTCATGGTGGTGACATGCACCACATTAATTATGTATGCAAAGTGACATCATTCGTCACCCTGCAAAATGAATTAAACTAAATCAATTATGGGTACCCCATCAAAACCTTAGAACATACACTAACCTATAATAAATTCAAATAAGATTAAAAAAAAAAAAAGAAGATGAAATATGAGCGAAAATGAGGAATCAAAAAGAATAGTTGCAAGGATATACCTGGAGCAATGTAACCATAAGATCCTGCAATGACTGACATAGATTCGTCACTTTGGATTAATTTCGCAACTCCAAAATCAGCCACTCTGGCCTCCATTTCATTGTCCAGAAGAATGTTACTAGGTTTTAAATCTCGGTGTACAATGACGGGTTCGCAGTCATGATGCAAATAACAAATTCCTTGAGCAACTCCAAGTGCAATCTTGTATCTCGTGACCCAATCAGCAGCCATATTGGTAGCCTTGTTTTTGGAATGAAGTAGATCGTCAAGACTCCCATTAGGCATGTACTCGTAGAGTAACATTGTACACTCATTGTTGCTACAACATCCTAGTAACCTCACAATGTTCCTATGTCTTACGTTGCCTAAAACATCGACTTCGGCCAACACCCCTTGCCGCTTCCGGACGGTCTCTTTTTGCTTCCCCCATAGTTTCTTCACCGCGATAATCTCACCGCTGGGCATCTCCGCCTTGTACACCGTCCCCGCTGATCCCATTCCGATCACCTGATCGCTCATGCTCAGGCATTCCATCACATCATCCGCCGTGAAATTCAAGCGCTGAAACGCCGTTAACTTCCAGGGGCCGATGTCCCGGTCGCCGGAAAATCTAAGGCGGTAACTCGCGTGGAAACACCGGCTACCCACGATGAGTACAAACAAGCAGATTCCAAATGCCGCAGCAACGATCCACACGACCGCGCCGGCTGTCTTCTTCGGCTGCTGCTTATTCTCCACCGCCGCCGCCGGCCCGTCGGTCCGGCATGGCTTCTGAATCGCGC